TTTTCCCTGAGTGAATTTTGGAGCAGACCATGAATGGATGGTTTCTATCTCTTCCTACTTTAATTCTCCCATGAATGGTTCTTGGATATAGTTTAAGATGGTGATCAACAGCGCAAAGGAACAACTTTGTAGAAGACTACTAGGTTTGCGTTCTTTGTAATTTGAAGCTGGCAACCATGCGCGAGATAAAGTCACATGCAATGATTCTTGCTGCTTCGAACGACGACCACACCAAGGTATATATGCAATGGACATACATCTTAGGTTACCTTTGGGTGAGCAGTGCAAGGATATGAAGATGCAAATGGAATTGATAATATGTTAGACGGTGATGAAACACTACATAATGGAATGGTTCAGGTTGTAGGAGGAGGAAAGAAGAAGAAGAAGAAGGAACGCGTGATTTTACAGTTCTCAAGATCATCACTTCTCACAGAACTGGTATTTTACAAATTTTACGAGCTATTTTCGTTTGCTTCATTTCTGTGTTGCTTGCTTCTGATGAATGTTCAAAGTTTAAATTGTGTTCAATAGGCTTTTTATTTTTTATTTTTAAAATGGCATGGATAGTAATGTAGTCAATTTCTTGTTTCTTATTTCTGTTAACAATGGCCTTACTCGAGCTAATTTTAATATAATGGAAATCAGCCCAGCGAAGACCTTAATCACAAATTATTTGGGTTTGACTAAATGACATAATATCTCCATTCCAGTTTTCTATGTCAATATTATCAATTGCTATATGGGGCATAACTTTATTTCTGTCACAATAGCCTTTAGAATCTGTTTTAGTACCTAATCTAATCTTTCTAGTCATAAAAGTACTTGAATCATCCTTTGCTGTGTTCTTTAACACGAGGAATTAATTATGCCCAGTTTTGCAAGTTAGGCTTGATTGACTATAAACTTATGGCTTACCAGAGGTGCATTGGCTTTATCTTGTTGACTAAACTCTCTGTTCTTATTCCTGTTCGGTTAGGTCTCTAAAGGTGTACTTAGCTGTGCGACTCAAGAAGTGAAAGATCTTTCCCATCTTTTAGAACATGATTTTCTCCCTCTGGATGCAGCATCGAAGATGCAACCTCTGTTGCAGAAAATATCAAAAATTAGTGGGAAGTTGGCTTCAGCTTCATCTTTACCAGAAGTTCAGCTCTCTAAATATGTTCCTGCCCTTGAAAAGCTTTCTACCTTAAGGTTGCTTAAGCAGGTTTGTTCGTGTGTTTATTTTTCCTTTGGATTCATTGTTCTTTATATGTGCATTACTGCATTATACATTCTTTATTTATTTATTCCTGATTTTTCTCAGTGTCCTCCATCCATTGCTTCATTAGGTGTCCCATGTTTACCAGACCATGAAAATTGAGAGTATGTCTCAGATAATTCCCTTTTTTGAATTTTCTATGGTGGAAAAGATTTCTGTTGATGCCGTGAAACAAAAGTTCATAGCCATGAAAGTTGACCACATGAAGGGTGTTGTGCTGTTTGGGGATATGGTATTTCTTTTTAAATGATTAGTCTTGTGGACTAATTGAAGTTTTATCTTAGAAATAGCGGCAAAACTTTCGAGATAATGTTCTGAAAGAAATTAATTCACGAGCTAATGCATTCCCAAGATTAATGCACTCCCCTGATTTATTTTTTGTGTTTTCATCAACTAGGAACGTGAGGAGGAGTCAAATAGGCTGATGTTGAAAACTGAAGAAGCCGACAAAAAGAGGCTTGCTGCTGTCTTTGAGCAACAGCGAGCTGAAAGGATTCGTAAGGAAATAGAGGAGCGGGAGCTTGAAGAGGCTCAGGCACAACTACACTAAACTGAAACATTTGAAAAAAGGGAAAAAGAAGCCAATTTTAGATGGGGTGAGCAGCCATTTTTTCCATCGAGTGTCTGGCTCAATTTTAAGCTAATTTTCCCGCCTCCCCCCTTCCAAACCCCTCCCCCACAAAGTTTTCACATTGCATGTTTGTCCAAGAGAAATTGACAAAGCAAATCTTGCTTCAGCGGACAATGAGTGAGCAGCTAAAGGAAAGGCAAGAACAGGAGAAAAGACTACAGAAAGTGGCCAAGACAATGGACCACCTGGAAAGAGCAAAGAGAGAGGAAGCAGCTCCCTTGATTGAAGCTGATTTTCAACGATGATTGTAGAAGAGAAGATGCTTCATGAACGTGAGCAACAGGTGAAACTTTAATTCCATGTTTTGCAATGGAAAGGTGTACTTGTTTGAACTCTTCTGTTTCAAGATCTCATAACATATGGCCATTTATGTTCTATAAATTTATCAAATGCTTTAATGTCTTATTCCGAGTATGCCTCAACAGATAGTCTTACCTTCTTTTGAACATCCCTGTCTTGAGGGGATCTATAGTCTTTCTATTTATCACTATGTTTGCTTAAGAGAGGTTTTGATGGTTTTTGCAATTGTCAACCTTCTGATAATAGCATCTGTAATTCTGTTCTGTCTTGTAGTTGGAAGTTGAGTTGAGCAGACAACGCCACGATGGGGACCTGAAAGAGAAGAATAGATTGGCGCACATGCTAGAAAACAAGGTCAGTACCATTTCCATTTTAGGACACGAGGCTTTGTGCTCATGATAGAGTTTCCCTTGCTAGAAATAGGTCTCTTGCAGCTTCCTCCATTTCCTCTTCCATAGTATTGGCCATTCAACAGACAAATTTGCTTTTTTCTTTTTACAGATGATATTCCAAGAAAAATTAATATGCCGTCGGCAGGCTGAGTTTGACCAACGGAAAGTAGAGAGGGAGGAAAGGATTAGACAAATAATTCAGGCCCGAAAGCAGGAAAGAGATATTAAGAGAAAGAAGATAATCTATGTGAGGTCTGAAGAGGAGAGAATAAGAAAGCTGCGTGAAGAGGAGGAGGCTCGCAAACGTGAAGGTATGTAATTTTATACACTCGTTTTACTGTTTTCCATAATTAACTGACCTTGAAATTGTATTCTGTTTTGCAAAAGCTAAGCGTTCTTCTGCTAGAAAATATTATAGTTTTTTTCAATAGTTATGAAGCTAGAAATTTAAGTTTTTATCTACTTAGTTTATTGGCACTTCGAGTTTTGCAGAGGTTGAGAGACGAAGGAAAGAAGAAGCTGAATACAAAGCGAAAATGGATGAGATTGCTGAAAAGCAGAGGCAAAGAGAACGAGAGTTGGAAGAGAAAGAGAAGCTTCGACGAGAAGCTCTCTTAGGAAGGTCGACAGTGGCTGGTGCTAGGCCTTCTTTGCTGCTTGCTGGGTCCCGAATAACAGAGCCTGGAAATACAGCTGCGCTTCTGCACCTGCCACTCCTGCTCCAGCTGCTGGGAAATATGTTCCTAGGTTCCGGCGAGAAAGACCTGAAAGCTCTGGTCCATATCCGCCTTCAGAACCTGATCGCTGGGTCAAGCCTACAGCCCCAGAACTTGATAGGCAGAGTGGCAGACTACTGGCAACAGAGCCCCTCCTCCACAATCAGATCGCTGGACTAGTGGCAGTAGGGATCCACAAAAGCATCCCGATCGATTAGGCATTGGTGGTAGCAGGGCCCCACCTCTGAGCTCTAACCGTCCAGGCGGTGCTGGTGGCAGCAACAAGCCAGAACCCTGGTGGCCTTCAACCTTATATTTGTTAAAGTGAATTATGTATCAAACAATGATGATGCATTCTTCTCCAACCTTTTGCTGTGTGACTTGTAATATAAGACACGACTCTCTTAACTAACTTAAAATTTTTACATAATAAGATTTATAGTTACAACTTATAATGTTAAAACTTACATAGAAGTTTTCAATTGAATAAAATTTATTACTGGTGGAATCTTTTTACGATTTAACTTGAAAAATTATCTTTTTTCGATTTAATTTGAAAAATTATTATATTTGCATGCTTAATATAATATTTTAAGTTCCAATCAAGAATGTGATTCTGTCTACTCTAAAAGTTTACATATTTAATAATAATTTTAATTACAACTTATTTCAAATAGAAATTAGAAAAGAAATAACACGTGTCACTTGATTCATAAACTCGTCAATAAAAATTAATATAAAAAACCTAATTTTTTTAAATATTTTAAAAATTGACTTAAATTACTAAAAGAATTTTGTTATAAGAAAACAATAATAATTTCTCAACATTTACAAATATTTTCTTTCAATTAACTTTTAGTTTGCTGATTTGAATCATAAAAATCTAAAATTTTTAAATGAATTATTTTTGAATGATTAATTGACTATCAATATTTTTGCTAATATGACATGATAATATTAAAGGGCCAATTGAAAAACCAAGCAAACATTATTTTTATAATTTTATTTTGAATATTTGAGTTCATTTATGATATTATTTGTTTATATAAAAGAATATTATTTTAAAGATTATAAAATGTAATTAAAATAAAAAAATATTTGAGTTCATTTATGATATTATTTCTTTAATTTTATTTATATTGATAATAAATATTTTTATCTTTAAATATCATTACATTATTAAACTTATAATTTATTAGTATGTAACAAGCTATCATAAATATCAAACTAATAAATATTAGATTTTACAGTACTCACAACGTCGATGAACAAAATATTTTAATTAAAATATTTATTATAAAAAATATTCAATGAATGATCATGGATGATAAAATATTTTTTTAATATAAATGTTATAGTATCATGTTTATTTATTAAGAATTAAATTGTAGTTGTTTTATTTAAAGATGAGACAAAATTATAAATAAAAATAATATATATATACTTATTTTTAAATTATATCTTTAATATTATTTTGTCACTTAAATGAAAATATTGATTATTAGTTAACTATTTTTGGAAAAAAAATTATTAGAAAAGTAAAATTTTAGAATTTAAATTGCTAAAGAAAAATTTTAAGCACACGGTTGAAAAACAAATAGTAGAAAACATTGAGGGTCTTTCCAATATTATACCAGAAAAAAGCCCAAATGTTGTTATTAAGGGGCAAAACTGTTCAGGAACAATAGCAAAAGCTCAAGCAAATCCAGCCCTAGATTTTCTTTTTAGGCACCTGTAATCGCCGACGTAATCCCGGTACATCCATTCAAGCTTCTGGCCGGCGGCTAAACAATACCACGGCCTTCGCTCGCGCTGTCTTCGTTTGCCCCTGCAGCTTTTGAGGTAAGTATCAAATCTTTCTAAATGCACTCGTCAGCCTTTCTCAGATGGAAAAAACTCTTAAAAATCATCAAAAACACATCTTTGATTCATCAGTGTTGCCCAAAACACAAAACCCTTGAAAATCCATATGCTCAAACACAAAACCCTTTTGGGTTTTTAGTTGTTTCCCAATATTCAACTCAATCCACCAAGTTTCCCGAGTACCAGATGCCCTCCGTCACCTGGGGCGTTGTTCAGGGCAGAAAAGAAAAGCTAGTTAATCGTGTCAAAATATGTGATTATATCAAGTCTTTGGGAATAATCCCTGATGAATTAGAGAATCTAGAATTACCCTCTACCGTTGAAGTTATGTGTGAACGTGTCCAGTTTTTGCAGAAACTTGGATTAACCATTGATGATATCAACGATTATCCTTTAATGCTCGGTTGTAGCATGCGTAAAAACATGATACCTGTGTTGGGTTACTTGGAAAAAATCGGTATCCCGAAGTCGAAACTAGGGGAGTTTGTTAAGAACTATCCGCAGGTGTTGCACACAAGTGTGGTTGTTGAGCTTGCCCCTGTTATTAAGTTTCTTAGGGGGCTTGATGTCGAGAAGCAGGATATCGGATACGTTCTGCAGAAGTATCCGGAGTTGTTGGGGTTTAAGCTTGAGGGGACCATGAGTACTTCGGTTGCTTACTTAGTGAGCATCGGGGTTAGTCCGAGAGATATCGGTCCTATGGTAACACAATATCCATATTTGCTAGGGATGAGAGTTGGGACTGTGATTAAGCCACTTGTGGATTACTTGGTTTCGTTGGGATTGCCTAAGAAGATTTTGGCTAGAATATTAGAGAAACGGGCATACATACTCGGTTATGATCTTGAAGAAACTGTTAAGCCGAATGTTGATTGTTTGATTAGTTTCGGGATTCGGAGGGAAGCTATTGCATCAGTTATTGCACAGTATCCACAAATTATCGGGTTACCTCTAAAAGCTAAGTTGTCTTCACAGCAGTATTTCTTCAATCTGAAGCTCAAGATTGACCCAGACGGGTTTGCTCTTATTATCGAGAAGATGCCACAGATTGCAAGCCTAAATCAACGTGTTCTTATGAAGCCTATAGAGTTTCTTTTGGGGCGGGGACTTCCATTAGAGGATGTGGCAATGATGGTTGTGAAATGTCCCCAGTTGGTTGCTCTACGAATCGAACTCATGAAGAAAAGCTATTATTACTTCAAAAGTGAGGTGGGGAGGCCGGTCAATGAGCTTGTGGCGTTTCCAGAGTACTTTACATACAGCTTGGAATCCAGGATCAAACCCAGGTACACCAAGTTACAAAGCAAGGGAATCAGGTCGTCGTTGAATTGGTTTCTGAATTGTAGTGACCAGAGATTTGAAGAGAGATTGCGGGGTGATTATATCGAATCAGAAAGTTTAGGACCATCGTTCCGAATGGGTGGGAAATTGGAGCTACCTGGAAACGACGTTATGTCTGATGAGGAAGAGGAAGACGAGAGTGATGATGAAGTACTTTATAGACGCACGGTTTCTCTGTAGTAAGATTCGTTCCAATTACATTAATGAATCAGCTTTGATTTAAGGTGCTATATCTCTAGTCCATCTTTTTCTTTGTGCCCCTACTGTTCTTGGTATTTGTTATAGTTGGATTCTCCATATTCATTGTTTCAACTATAGTGTTTGCCATGCTTGCCCACAGTTGCATCCACCGAGTCGTGTAGTGTGTATGTGTATGCATAAGTGCATTATCACATGCCCGCTCTTGCGATAGACTAATACATTCATGTAGACTTATCTTGATGAAATTGGTTACTATGAACAATTCATTGAACGTTCTGTTAATTTACACTCCAAACTTGATCGATTAAATCAGAAACCAGTGACCGGTATTTATGGTCACGCAGGAGAGCTTCCTTGAATGCCTGAGGACTTTTTTTTTATATATAGAAAAACTTGTAAAGCATTTGAACATTCTAGTGAAATGTTTTTATGCTTGTTTCATTTTACCACATGTTCCAACCTAAGTTGTAGAAACTGGTATGTTGGGTCTAAAACACTTATTGTTAGTTGTCTTAAACATTTCGATTTAAACACTTTAGCCCCTCTCGATTTCGAATTCGAGCTAATTAATCTCTCAAAATATTAGTTTTTATATATTCTTATTCTAACTTCATACTGTGTCGTCTTAGCATACAATAATATTACAACTGCAAGCCAAAACATCAGCATGAATTAGTTTTTACAATCACACCAGTAAATAATATATGTAGTATACAATTTATATTACCTTCTAGATTGTAGATTGTATTATTATTGCAAGCAAGAGAATGGAACTTTAAGTTGTAATAGGATTTTCATAATCGAGTTTAGGGAAAGTATACAAATGGTCCATTGATTATAGGGTATTTCTTTATTGAATCTCTCAACCATTAAAAACTACAAAATGACCCTTCGACTATGGAGTATTATTTTGTTGAGTTTATTAACTACTAAAAATTGCAAAAATGGTTACCTGACCATTCACTATATTTTAAACTCATTATTTTTTATTAAAAAATTAATATTCTAAACTCAAACTCATTATTTTTTGTTAAAAAATTAATGGTATTTTAAGTTGAACGTTAACCTGTTGATTATGATATGATAAAATCTGATATTGGAATTTCAAATGACTCAAACTATCATAGACAACCGTCAATTTTTTTAACAAAAAATGATGATTTTGGAACATAATGAATAGTTGGTTGACCATTTTATAACTTTTAATAGTCTATAGACTTAATACAACAACATTTTATAGTAGGATGATCATTTTATAACTTTTAATAGTAGAGAGAATTAATAAAAAAGTACACAATAGAGACTTCAAATTTGCAACTTATCAAAAAGTCAACTCAAACAAATTATAACATAATTATACCAGATAAAAAATTGACACATCAATTACTCAGTTTCGAAAATTAACAAATAGCAACTAAATTACAAGAAAATTTAGTTTGGTAACCAAAATAAAACAAACCCGATAATGTGGTGACTGATGGATAATTTTCCCTATTGTTTATTCTTTGTCAATTTGTGTGTCTAGTGATAAAAAAAATTCACCATCAATGCTACAAGATTATTAAGAACAGCTCAGCTGCACCAATCAAGTTCTACTGGTTGGCTAAAGCACAATCAAGTCTAATGCAGAAAGGAATCAGAAATACATATACATTACTTGCAATCTTCACTTTTAATTACAAATTCAAGCGGTTAGCAATTCAAACTATGATCCACAAATTATCTATCAGACACCATCTTAGTCCCGAGTTGGTCGGTGAAACAGCCGAGAACAAATGTAAACTCATAAAAACAACAATGGCAAAACAAACCTACGCCTTGATCTCTAACTCAGATCATCTACTGCAATCACCAGGTAATGGGAAACAAAGCATGTTCACACTGCCAGGGGAAAAAGAATACATCAAATTTACTTTGTTACCGGAAAAGATGTTTATGTGATCACCGTGGGTTTGCTTGTCCTTTTTCCTTCCATGGCGTCTTTCTTTTTCCGACAGTTTGTGCAGAGAAAGGGTCCTTCCCAGGGCTTTGAAGCAGGCGAGAAAAAGGGCCCGGAGTTCACGGTTAAACCCTCTGCCGGAGGTTGATCAACTTGACAGACCGCACATTTGAATATTCCCGAGTTTGTATTTGTGGGAAAATCCTTACCTAACCTGCAATTTTTTGTTATGAAATCAATGGGGTTAGAGATTGATCTATTTTGTTTTGGTGGTCAAATATAAAACCTGGTAATCCTTGCTCCAGGCATTTGGGTGCAAATTTGACATTATGGAAGAACTTGACTGATCAATTGCGAGTAACGTGTCAAACGTAAAATAAAATCTACTTATGAGAATACACATGACCAGCATTGCATTAGTAACTTCTGCAAGTATTTTGAAGACAACAAATACTCCTCCCCCACATGCATAATATAAAGAAAAAGGTGAAATTAAAATTAGGACACAGTAAAGTTCCAACGTACAAACCTTTCAGCAAGCATCGCAGACCCCTCCTCAAATAGCTCTTCAACAACTCCAACGGCAGAGAGTTTACTTGTAGTTTTGTTTGTAGAATATAGAGATCTCTTCCCGAAAAGAAAAGAACTGAGCACATTCTGCTTTTTCTTAGGTGTTGAAGGTAGGACAGGCACGTCAGAAGGGATAATATCAACAACCAGGCACGTTGTATCATCCTTCAGGCCCCTTGACCTCAAAGCTTCCTAAAAGTAGTATTAAAAGCAAGAATTAATATGAAAGTTAATTGAATGGATAGTTGGATACCATAACGAAAAGGCACTGCTCTGATTCTGGATATCACCTTAACAACCAGCTTTGCTGCAAGCTCTGCTGGTAGTCCCCGACAAGACTTTGCAGCCATGTCTGAAGACAAAGCATCCCAAATACCGTCTGAAGCAATAATAAGTCGTCCTCCAGCATTTGATAACTAGGATAAAACAGAAAAGAAGTTTCAGATTCAGGGTTCCAATGCTCAGAAGAAAATTAATAAATCATCAGCAATAACATATGAAGATGTAACCTTCACTTGCTTAACATGTGGTATTGGGACAATAAACTCCCCAACATCTGTGTCACCAATTGACCTAGAGAGGCATAATCCACCAGGCCAACAACGGAGGGGACCAACCTACAGAGATTCAATCCATAAAGATAACAACTATTAATAACTTTCACAAACAACCCCATTCCACCACCTCTAATTCCACCAACTCAAATGAGAAAAGGACAAAAGGATGAAAACTGCACGTGTTGCAAGGGTGAAATACCTCATTGCCCCGAAAACATTAAGTCTCCCAACTTCACCCCCACTGGCAGTGACACGCTCCCTTTCTTCCACATTCTCTTCTAGCCTGTGATCTACAGTCAGGAGAGAAACTATACCCCCTTGGATGTCCAATATACATCTAGAATCACCAACAGATGCAACAGTGACAGTCCATCCATCAATCACAACGAACGTAACTGTTGTCCCAGAAGTTTCCCCTGTCGTCAATATAAATGACTACAAAGATAAGTATGCAACATAATTTGACAGAGAGAAAACGGTGCGATGAAATAGAAATGAATACATACCTTTCTGCTGAAATTCGATGTCTGTTTTCACAAAACCTGCAACCAGAGCCCGAGGAAGGGCTTGAAGCCACTCCTCCCTATTGGCACCTTGTGGAATCGCACTCAAGACATTACCCAATAAGTTCTCCTTGGCAAAAATGGCAGCTGATATACCATTATGTCCATCAAAAATCTGTGAATAAAACCAATATTAGGAATCACCACAAGCATCAAAAGTAATGTAACATTTATCATACTCAGGTTTATCAGTAAGAGACAAAAGATGAATCATAAGATTTTGGTACTAATTTTTATGCATACAAATCAAACAAGAACATACATTCTCGTAGTCAGCAAATATCTCAATCTCCTTTTTCCCACATTATACGATTCGAATTATCTTTCTTTTTCATTCTTCATTACTTCATAACCAAACAAGAGAAATCCATCGTGTGCTATTTAAGCATATAAGCCAACATCCTTCATGTTTGAGAGAGAGAGAGGGAAAGGTGTAGGTAGAAGGAGGAAGAAAGTACCGCAAATACTGAAAAAGATGTTGCTGGATTCCCGGGAACCCTCTCACAATCAGATTTAATCAAAAAGTAATCTTCTCCTTTTTTGGCCAGAGCAGCCTGTCCAAACTTGACAAAAGGCTTCTCGACTTTCTCATTCCTCAGTTCACGACCGATTAAGGTCGCAAGTGGAACAAGAGGTGGCTTCATCCTCGATACTTCAGTCTGGCTCTTGTTAGTTAAGGTGTCAACATTCCAAGAACTCCACTGCTGAAGTTTTAGCAATCCAAATGAAACAACTCAGCATCACCAGATTCGAAGGACACGAAATCCTGCAAGGCACATACAGAAATTCTTTTAGAAAAACAGTTTAGTTCACAATTTTACCACGCAATCAGCTAAAAGAAGCAAAATAAGAATCAAGCTGATCTAGAGCTTCACAGTTTATTTCAATATCATGTAAAATATAAGATGACATATCAAAGCTAAAAGGATCAAACGTAATAAATACATATACATTTTAGACTCAAGCTTTTATAAAAATTAAAGCTTCCATGAAAAAAAAAACAGCAATCTAACAAAACCAATTAACCAAAAGTCCCTTTATACATCTCACCACTGATAAAAAAAATCCCAGGAAACTGATCTGAAAACTTTCACATATGACCTCAGTTTTATAAAACATAAATCAATCCCCAAAAGTAATGAGGCTGATAAAGAAATAGTAAATCAAACAAATACAGTGCACAAATTTAATAATCGAAGCTAAATTGTTTATCAATCAAAAACTTAACCTCAAAAGGTATCATTTTTAACCCATCAATCCACCAAACAAAAACAACCCATTTTTAAACCGTTCTCTTACAAGCTCAAAGTTAAGTTCAAGACCCAACATTCAACAAATCAAGCCGAAAAACAAACTCGAAACCCCAAATAAGTGATAATTCGAAACCCCCAAAAAAAGACACTCACGATTGAAGGCGAAGAGAGAAAGAAACCTCAGATCGAGCAGGTCTAGCCATACATTGGGTACCTCTTCATTTATCTGCTTGTACAAAAAACCATTATCCTTTTTGTGCTTTTTCTGGGTTCCAAAAATCAAAGCCCTAAAGGGAGAGAGGGAGAGAGGGAGAGAGAGAACTGGAGCTCACAGTGATTTGCTTGGGGGAGAAATCTAAAGCAAGAGAAACGCAGGTTTCGTTTAGGTGCTGATTTTTGT